AAATAATGAATAAGAAAGTAATAGTTCTCTTTGCTTGCTTATGTGTTTCTAGACGGTACTAGCAGCAATCATCAGAGATGGTATAGCAGCCGCTTCCATATGGCATAAAGTACTAGGAACTCCTTAACTGTTGCATTATTTTGTAGTTACCATGCTAGCTTCCAATTTTAAATTATTGACCGTTTGTCCGTGTTCCCTCCACTCACAAGGTGACTGATCAGCAGTCTCTTCTGCACTCCAGGGATAGGACAACAAAAATAGGCCCTCTCCTTCTCTGTGTCTTCTCTCATTCTCACAGGATATCTAGCGCCTGGATTCAGAAAACATCTTACTTTACTTTTTTTGGCTCCATACCAAATTGTCCTCTCTCCTCTCTCCTGCCCTTGTTTGAATATCAGCTCCACTTTTTCCATGTCAAGTAGGGCTGATTAAGTGTCTGTAGGTCTTTTCTTCTGGTCATCTTTGTTAGGTTTCAACTAGCCACTAAGTGCTGAATGCCTACTCTGTATCCAGAGCTGAACTAGATGCTACAAAGGGTCCTATATTTATAGGACTTACTCCCTATCTGCAAAGAGGTTACCTGAATGGAAAGACAAATATCACTGAAAAATGGAGCTAAAAGATAGTCTAGTCTTATGGAGGTATCTATGAAAGATTTTTAGAGGACTGGTACAAGAAACTCCAAGAACTGGTACAGAAATTTGGAGTATCTGTGTTGTGCTGGGGCAAATGTCCATGGATTTTATGAGTTTCAATGAGGGCTGTGATGCTATCCCTCCACCGTAAAACATTAACAATGACCAAAAGAGGCTAGTTGGACTAGCTATACAGTAGCGATTTCTCTTTGCTGATGTTTTCCATGGTCAATGGTAGTCCACATACTAGATAATACAGTGTCAATGCCAAATACAGATTGAATTCTATGATTGGGTGTTGGACATTCTATCTTGCCATTTAAGAGTGACTTAGAGTTATCAAAGAAAGCACTCAAGGCTCATTGTGACATTCATAGTGATTCTGCTTTTTAAAAAATGTTTTATGGGTACATATATGTATATATTTTGGGGTACAGATTTTGATACAGGCATTCAATGTGAAATAAGCACATCATGGAGAATGGGGTAGTCATCCTCTCAAACATTTATTCTTTGAGTTACAAATAATCCAGTTATACTCCATAGGCAACTGAGGTCTTATGCCTGAGAGAAAATTGGGAATAGTGCTGCCTGAATAATCTGAAGTTTGGTACTATATCAGGACACATCAACATTATCTCCATTCCTGTTGATAATGTTCTCTTACTGTAGTATAGCTAGGGTGAGTTTGCGAAGCCCTTTCATGTCCTATTACCCAACGACCCAGTGAGATTGGCAAAACAAGGATTGTTAGTATCACTTTATCAAACAAACAAAAAAAAACAAAACAGGATATAAAGGGTGCAGCTGAGCATCAAAACCACTTTCTCTGATCCCTCCTTTCTCCAGCTTATCTTGCTCTCTTAACCAGGGCAGCATTTGAGGTGGGCTTCTAGGCAGATGAATTCAGTTAGAGTTTTCAGCTGTGTACTGCTGATGAAATCTGCTTCTATTTGTAGGTCTTCCCTGGGGGTAGGCTCGTGTGCTAGTTTTGGACTTTCTTCAGACTTCTGCTCAGTCTATAATACTGTACTGACCTTGCAAAGTCCTCCTAGTTCCCTCCATGAACATTTCAAGGGCAAAGTCATGAATTGCCATTTTCATGGGTGGGTCATCATCTCAAAATGTGATCTGGGGATTTAGATTCTTCATTTTCTAGATTGCTGCTGTATAATATGATAAGTGCTACATATCATATGTAATTATTAATTTCCTAGTAACCATATTAAAAAAGGAAAAAGCAGGCAAAATCAATTCTAATAATCTATTTAACAGAAATACCCAAAATATTTCCATTTCAACATGTAATCAGTACTCAAATTAAGATATTTTGCTTTTTTTGTACTAAGTCTTTGAAATTCAATGTGTGTATAACATCTATTTCACATCTCAGAACTAGCCACATCTTACATGGCTAAATGGCTAGTAGTCACTGTACTGGAAAACAAAGGTATAGAAAATTCTTCTGGAAAAAAATATAATGAAGAGAAAGCAGCTCCTTTCCCTCTACTGAAGACGGAGAATGAGTTAGGCAGTGATCCTTTTATTCTGACATTAATCATCATAATTTATCAGTCACACATCATTATAGAGAACCTCTTCACATTGTAGCAACATTAACAAAATTTCTTTCTAGTGACCCAGCAGCTTCCAGACCTCACAACATGTTGAATAGGACTATCCATACACACAGGCAAAAAAAAAACAGGCTATGATACAGATGGGCTACAAGGTGTGCATGCTCCAAAAGTATGGTCATGTAGCCTGCCATATACCTGACACATCTTCCATTAAAACATTTTTCAACAAACTTTTTTTTTTTTTTTTACACATCTACTAAAATGTGCAGAAAGAAGACTAAGTCCTTCTGGGTCAGGGGAGGTAGAGAGAGCACAAGCATGAAGACACAGATGCTGCCTTCAGTGAAATTTGTGTTCTCTGAGGGAAGACAGTAGAAAAGACAGGTAGGAGATTAAATGTCCCATTATATGACGAAGATGAAAATTGTCCAATTGGATCTTTAGAAAATCCCCATTAAAATTCCATTGTTTCTGAGTTAGAAGCACATGAAATAATTACCCTTCACTATTTACCAGTTACACAGGCATAGATTCATTTGTTGAATTTGCTTGAAAAGTAGAGCCAAAGATCCTTTGAAAATGGAAGAGGTTTTCATGGGGGAAGAGGTGAGAGTGGGGCAAATGAGAAACATCTCCTTTATATGGCAGATGAGGGAGTTTCTTGATGATGGGGAGAGGCAGCTTAAAGTATTAGGCACTAGACTCCAGCACCCAATGACAAGGAGAAGGGAGGGGAGGAGTGAATATCGTGAACACAAACTTTGTCTATTTCAAGAGCTTTGCCCATTCCTGGACTGGTATTAAATGCTTATCTGAGCAGGTAAATACAGTGCATATGTTTACATTGGGTAGGCAGTGGAGAGTAGTAGTTTAAGTCCAGGGTTCAAGAGTCAGCTGTTTGTGACTTTGGAGGAAGTAATTTAACCGCTTCCTGGCCTCCCCCCACCCCCCGCGTTTTTCATAAGTAAAAAATGGTTTGTTAATAGGATTTAATGAGCTGCTATACAGAAACAGTTCAGAGCAATGCCTGGCACACAGCATTCACCCAGTAAATGTCAATAATTACGATTCGTTTTGGCATTATGTCTAGTAATTATTAGCTATGATGCTCCTCTAATTTGTTAAAGTTTCATAAGACTCGACTCTATCTTAAGGAATCCTGCTAAAAAGTAGACAAATTCTAATGAGAATCTCCTTAAGATAGCAAAACTGATGAAAATGACTTGCCCAACGGCTCAGAGGCTGCTCCTAAAATGGGGAGAAAGGCTATTTAAGGAATCCTGCTAAAATGTAGACAAATTCTAATGAGAATCTCCTTAAGGAGCAAAGATGAAAATGACTTGCCCAAGGGCTCAGAGGCTGCCCCTAAAATGGGGAGAGAGGCTATTTAAGGCAATGGCGATGGATTTCCCCAAAGACAAGGGTTTCATACACTTAAGGGTCTGGAGCCAGAATCCAGGCTGTACCGCTTAACTCGAGGGGTCACTTGGGAAGTTAGCTGATTTCTCTGAGCCCTGGATTGTGCACCTGCCAAATAGGTATGATAAATATACCTATAGTTGGTGAAAGTCAATAGCATGACGCATGAAAACTGCATAGGTCTGGGCTCAGTAAAATCAGCCTCTCCATTGATTATTATGATTACTATTGTTGTTATAACAGATCTTTAGGCGGCGTCAGGAAGTGCCTGTCTCGGATGCTATGATGCGTTTGGCTCACCACTATGCCCCAGCGCCTGGCACCCAGTAAACACTCAGGAAACGTTTGGGGAATGAATATACGTCATTTGAGGCAGGAGACAGCAGTCGGCTGACTGCCTCTGGGCTTAGCTCTCCCCCGACTTGAGCAGCTTGTAGCGGAGCCAGGCACTACTTGGCAGCGGGTGAAACCCACCTCGCCCTAGTCGGAGCTGTTGGAGAGCGCCCCGCCTGGACGCGCACCTCAGTAGGAGCGGCACTCTCCCAAGCCCTTATTTTTCTGGTTTGCGGTTTATTTACTTAAGTATTTACAGCACCCAGGAGCAGAGGGGCTGCTAGAGGTAGGGTCAGGACCGAGGTCGCAGATCGTATTTATTTTCTGCCTCCAGTTTCAGAGCCGGCAAGTCACAACACGGCTCTTTATTTGCGCACCGGAGAGGTTGGCGTTTCTTTACCTCCTGAGGGGCGACCAAAGACACACGCGGCTCGGGCTCAGAAAAGTGCTCTCACGCGACTTGCCTGTGTCTCCGCTTGCGTGGACCGTCGCTCCCAGGCTTGGTTTTTCGTGCAAACCCGAGCAGGGCAGAGCAGATTTTTATTAAAGACAACCTCTCGCCTTTAATCCCTGACCGCAAACACTGGCGTTTTTGTGCCCCGGATTTCTGAAATTCTTGGCTCGGGGACCCAAGGCAGGGGGAGGGTGGGTAAAAACTTCCCAAAGCAGAAATCCAAGCGCCTCACCCCTCCCCAGCCCCAGTGACACCAGGATTCCAGGGAAGAGGGGCAACCAGAGGAGAGGAGTCCCCAAGGGTTTGGGGGCGCTTCCCAGGGGCGGCTTTGTACGGCGGGCTCCAAGCCCTACCGACCTCAAACAGCAAACCAGCTCAACAGCCCGAACGCCCCGCAGGACGCCCCTCCCCGGTCCCCGCGCGCGTCTATTTAGGGACCAGCCCGGGCGCCCAGGGGATTCTGGGACTTGTAGTCCCTCCCCTCTGCCGCTGGCGCCGCCACGACCCGGGACTCGGACTACATTGCCCAGGGAGCTTTCCGGCCTATATAAGCCGCCGGGAGCCGCTTCAAAGTGCAGTAACCATGTGGATGTGCTGCTGAAGTGTTTCCTCAAGCTTGCTGGGGTGGGAGGAGAGGAGGAGGAGGAGGTGGTGGTGGAGGAGGAGGCAGGGGGTGGAGAGAGAGAAAGCGCACGCCGAGAGGAGGTGTGGGTGTTCCGCTTCCATCCTAACGGAACGAGCTCCCTCTTCGCGGACATGGGATTACCCAGCGGCTGCTAACCCCTGTCCTCGCCCTGCTCCCCCAAACCGGCGTGGCTCCCCGGGCACCAAGGTAGCGGCTGGGACCGGGCAGAGGGCGTGGGGAGTTGGCACTGGCTCCCTGGGCGCGGAAGTTTTTGCCCCGCTCTCTGGGAGATCTTGATGGATGTGCATGCACTTGGCATGCATTTGTGGGGTTCCTTTACTGCGGGCAGTTTTTGGGGGGAGCTCATTTGAGGCTTAAAAAACCTTAAATATCCTCGACTCTAGTGCACAGTTCTGGGGGCTCCCCATTCCGGACTGGTATGGCATTCCCCCAAGTTGGAAAGTGTTGCTGCAGCTGCAGGAAATAGTTTTTTTCTTTTTTTGAAGAGAGAGGTTGTGGGGGTGTTATATGTAAGTCTGCTCAAGGAAATAATCTTTCTAAAAATGTAGCCCTCTCTTGCACTGCATGGCTGGGAGAATAATGCATGTGTGTGGGGCCCCCGTGGGGAGGGCTTTTAAAAACGGAAGAAAACCGGGGAGGCAGTGAGGGATGAAGTGTGGACGAAGCTCACGTCCAGTGAGGATGCAGGCTTCGGATACTTGGTCACCTCGCCGGCAAGCAAGTGCTTTGGGATCTGCCAAACACTTCCTTTAGTTCCAGCCTCCCGCACGTTCGAAGTTTGTGCGTGCCTAGTCTCACTTGTCAGTTACATCCTGGAAATGAGCGTAGTTACCTGTAATCTTCTCCCAAGCGATCCCGCCAACCTGCTTGCCAAGTTTGGGGAGCGGAGGTCTCCCCAGGGGAGGAGGCTGAAGGAGGTGGAAACCTGTAATTTAGAGCATTTCTGTTAGAGACCCATCTTCCGCGGTCTTTTACTCAGTCTCCTTTCTTTCTAAATATTTAGGAGCTGACTACGGAGGAGCAGGATTTGCACCCCTCGCTGGGCTTGTTTTGGCAACAGAGTGCCTGACTCGGGTCAGGTGAGTGTGGAAGCCTGAGTGCTGTAGTCAATAATGAGTTTTTGTCCTAAGCCTATTTTAAGTTCTATCTAAACAGCCAAGGAAGTGGGAAGTAAGAAAAAGAAACTCCGTGGCTCAGTCGTCAAAATTTGCCTCTGCCTTTGGTGAGGGCGTTAGAGGTCCAGTGGACCGTTTGTTTCTTGGACGTAAGCTCAGAATTGAAGGAGCCTGAAGGTTTATGGGGGGGGGGGGCGGGAAGGGCCATTAAATGGAGCAATAAAACGGCGGCCCATTGCCGGGCTGTGCTGGTGATTTAAATTCTGAAGGATGCAGTGCGTTTCATATGCCAACATGTGTAAGCAGTATTAACTGCCTCTCTCCTTCAGAAAATAGTTACTCTTTTCTAACTTTGAACGTGTGGCTTAATCAGAGTAGGTTGGACTGCAAGAAATGAAAGTGGTTGCTGCAAGTTGGAAGAATTAGAACTTATAAAAGGGAAGTTAGTTGTTGAAGCTTAAGATAGTAACATTCAGCCCTTGACTCAAGCCACCTGAATGTCAAGGAATCTGGCCGATCCCTGTTGTTTTGGGGCCTGTAGTGGAATATGAGCTGAGAGCAGCATTTGTCTGTAAACACAACAGTTTCTATTTTTTCCCCAAAATGGTCAGACTGCGTTTGAAGAGTGGGAGGTTTCAACGGGTGCACGTACATCACTATTGCTACAGATTTGGCCATCAAAAGTTTTTTCTCCTGAAATGTTCAGAAACATGGTAAATATCAGGGTAACAGAGGTGGGTGGGGTGGGTGGCTGGGTCCTAGTAACGTTTTTAACATTCTAAATATTTAGCTGTTCCCTGGGCTACAATCTTTGGACTTTTTAAATGAGAAAAAAGTCAGACACTTCATTATAGTAGTGTAGTGCTTTTGTTTCCTGTTGATAAGATCCTCGGGAGTACTGGCGGAGTGAGAAGCATTTGGATGTGAGAACTCTAGTTTCTTACTGGAATTCTTTTATTGACTCACATGGCTGTATGAGTGCTCACAGGGCCAACCAAGTATTGGGTCTAGTTCCCCTCTTCAGAATCAGCTGCACGACAAGGCGAAACTGGTTCACAGATTCTTTTCTAACTGGTTGGTAAAAATAATAAGATGGGGGCCAGGCGCGGTGGCTCACGCCTGTAATCCCAGCACTTTGGGAGGCCGAGGCGGGTGGATCATGAGGTCAAGAGATAGAGACCATCGTGGTCAACATGGTGAAACCCCGTCTCTACTAAAAATAACAAAAATTAGCTGGGCATGGTGGCGCACACCTGTAGTCCCAGCTATTCGGGAGGCTGAGGCAGGAGAATTGCTTGAACCCAGGAGGCGGAGGTTGCGGTGAGCGGAGATCGCTCCATTGCACCCCAGCCTGGGTTACAAGAGCGAAACTCCGTCTCAAAATAATAATAATAATAAGATGGACACACATTAATTACTATTAAGCCGGGGCCAGAGCCGTATGTCTCAGAAACCCTGTGCGTGAGACACAGGTGAAGGAACTGAGGTGCAGAGAGTGAAATCACTTGTCCAGTAGCTAGTATAAAGTAGGCGCAAGGTATAACTTCAGGCAGTGAGGCTGTACTGCATCCCAAAAATGGATCTAAGTTGATTTGGGGATGGAGAGTGGTGAGAGGGAAGCTAGGAAAAATGGTAAACTTACTGCTATTGAAATAACTTGCTTATATCCCACCAATGATGCAGTCATGCTTAACATTGATGTAAGAAGGAAAGGATATAGCCACAAATATAGGGATAAAAGAGTGCAGATATTTGAGGAGGTATTAGATGTTGTAATGAGTTCACTTTGGAAAGCCTGAATGGGGAGAGTAAAAAGAAACAACACAAAACCACAAGAAACATTATGCAACTGAAGTATTAGGCTCATCTCCCAGCTGAAATACATCTTGATTATTTACATCAAAGCATCTGAGTAGGTGAAAGGATCAGGCGTTTCCCCATCTGAGTAATTTGAAAGTTTAAACCGTAGTTAGTGTGCAATGTGAAATGTTGCTACTTTTTCATATACCTTCCAGTTTGCTTTGCAGCCAGTTGTGCAGACGTTTCTGTTTTCCATTTTTTTCTTTCAAGTGTATATGCATATGTACATTGAAAGTACAATCTGTTCTTTGAATAATTCAAATCCGAACAGAAAATCCTTTCAAGTTACTCTTCGTATCAGACAGGGAAAGTTCTTCAAGTTCTAAATGAATTACTCTGGCTCTTGTATTGAGATTCATGAAAGTCATTTGGGGTTGACAATAGTATTATCCATTTCAACAAAGTGATTGTCTTTTGGAGGGAATTGGCCTCTTTAGGAAGGAGAAGTGGAATGGTTGCTTAGAAAAAAAGAGATGAACTCCACAGAAAGATCAACAGTCTTCAAAGTATTTTCAAGTGAGAAAGATCAGGGTGTTAGTGTTGTGGGTAGGGAGGAGAGTGGGCAGAGAGAAAGATAAAGAAACTCTAATCCAATGGTGTGCAACAGTTGCCTTCCAGAGGAGAGGAGATATCACACGGCTTTTCAGCTCATTTATAATGGTATCATGGAAACTCTGTCTGATTTCTTCACAAGTAGCTCTTAGAAAACAAACCAAAATAAACACCAAATATGAACAACAGAAAAAAACAGCCAAAATAAAAGTTAGGCCTGGAGTTAGGTTTCTAGGTCAAGCAGTCTTTGGATACACTAATTAAGGAGTCTCTACAAGGCCAATGTCCATCTTGTTTACTATTGGTTTGATTTTTAAAAATAAAACACATTGCATTTGCAGGCTGTCTCTTAATCAGAAGTGAATGCAGGTTTTTTTTTTTTTCATTTTTGTTGTTTTAAGTTTGTGCATAGCTCAATTGATGAATGCAATTAAGGCTTGAAGTCAGTGATGTGAATGACATAACGTCTATGATTCCTTACAATTGTCTTGGTACCTGTGGTTCTAAAATGATCCTACTTATCATGAGCCAATTAAACTACTGAAACCATCACCCGTTGATGGTTTGAGATTCCTAAATTGGATGTAGTTTAAGGCACATGGTGTGGTAAATCTATTTAACAGACTCTGAGGACGATTCAAGTTGTTGTGTGTGATTCAAGTGTTTTATTCTTTACTCAACAAATTTCTTGAGCGCCTGCTGTATACTAAGGTGTATTCCAGGTGCTCAGGGTACAGCAATGAACAAACCGTCCTGTTCCCAAAAAGCTTATGTCATAATTGGTGGCAGGCAGCCAATATAAATAAGCAAGTTAGAAGTATAGTATTAGAGGTAGTAAATGCTGTGGACAAAAAGAAAACTGGTTAAGGAGGGAACAGAAAATAAAAAGTGGAGAAATTAGATCCCTTGTGCATTGCTGGTGGGAATGTAAAATGGTGAAGCTGCTGTGGAGAGCAGTATAGTATGGCAGTTACTAAAAAAAATTAAACATAAAATTGCTATGTGTTCCAGCAATTCCACTTGAAGGTATACACTTTAAGAAATTGAAAGTAGGGACTTAAGCAGATATTTGTACCCCGGTGTCAGCAGAAGCATCATCACAGCAGCAAAAGGTAGAAACAACCCAAGTCTATTGATGAATGGACCGACAAACAAAATATGAACTATACATACAATGGAATATTGTTCAGCCTTAAAAAGAGAATTCTGACACATGCTACACTGTGGATGAACCTTGAAAGCATTATGCTAAATGAAACAAGCAACAAGCCAGAAACAAAAAAGGACACTTATTTTAATATTTTTCCTGCACGACGCATCTAGATTAGTCAGATCCCTGTAGACAGAAAGTAGAATGGTGATTGCTAGGGGAGAGGAAACACGGGTAGGGGCAGTTAGTGTTTATTGACGAGAGAGTTTCTGTTTGGAAAGATGAAAAAGTTCTAGAAATGCAAGGTGGTGACGCTGCACAACAGTGTGAATGTACTTAGTGCCACTGAGTTATAACATATCAAAGTGTTCTATGGTATGTATATTTTATAGAAATTTTAAAAAGCAACAAGGCATGATGAGAGGCATTAGGGGAGTACTTAGGTGGGGATCAGATCTTTACTACATGACACCTCAGCACAGAGCTGAAGGAGGCAAGCGAGTTGGCCCTGTAGATATCAGGGAGAAAGTGTGTTCCAAATGTCAGAGCAGCAAGTACAGAGGCCCTGAGTTAGGAGTGGGTGTGACATGTTGGAGCAGGGAGAAGAAGGCCAGGGTGGCCACAGCTGAGGGAGAGGGACTCAGGGTCCAGGCCTATAGGTACTGGATTTTGCAGGTCAACAGTGGTTTATCTGAGAACTTGTAAACTCTCACAGAATTCTCAGTGTGGTTTTCAACATCATGAAGCTACATTGTCCTTTCTGGAGAGACTCTGGTAAGGTTGGCAGGATCACATACCAGATGGGAACTTGATAGGGGGTAAAACCCAGATTTCTGGACTGTCTGGTTAATGACAGGACTTACCTGGGATTTTAATTCACTTCAGTAGTAAAGTTAAGTTTGACAAGTAGGTGAACATACAGTTGGCTTGGACAGCAATTTCTAAGAACCTAATGATAATCCTGGAGTTTCAACACAAACCTTCTATGTCCTACCGCCACCCTGCGGTATATCCAGTGTCATTTTAAGAGAGATTTACAAGGAGGACTAATGTTCTGCTCTCCAGCATCCTTGGGGAATTAGAAGCTCTACATTGGTGATTCTCTCTAACAAGTGAAGGGGACCCCTGCATATGTGCAAACTTAAAGCACAACTCAAATTTTGTTACTTATTAAGTAAGATATGCATATTCATGTAGCACACACCTTGGACTCAGCTACTTAGGAGGCTGAGGCAGGAGAATCACTTGAGCCCAGGGGTTTGAGGCTGTATTGCAGGATGATTGCATCTGTGATAGCTACTGTTCTTCAACCTGGGCAACATAGCAAGACCCTGTCTATTAAAAATTTTTTTTGAGGAGAAAAAGATAGCATATTCATTGTAGTGCAACATTAGGAAAAAGA